GAGGGACACGGGGGCAGGGGAGCCGCGGGACTCGGGACCGGGATGTTCCGGTGTTCTTCAGCCCCCAACAACCACGTAAAGTCCCAACGACTTTATCTCGGGGCTTTGAGCGGAGCCAGCTGACTGCATCGTATACATCAGGAAACGGTACTATAAAGCCTTGTCAAGTATAAACTTAACATGTGCTTCGTAGCTCCTAAAAGGGTAATCGGCTAAAATTAGTTCATTCTGAAATCTTTGGACCACTTTAAGACCAAACAATCCCCCAAATTCTCCCCTCCCCGAAGGATCATAAACAGTCAATAATTTATATGAAGTTAAAATTTAAACTAAAAGACGTCTTTAAATACGTTACAACAAACAATATATATACTCAATGCTGTAAGGACAGAAAACTCTGTATCTCAGGTCAGGGGACTCTTAGTTCGTTTGGTCTTGAAAGTACCCACAAATCTCAGATTTCTGCTCCTTTGGCTCCCAGCACATTTTCCTCATTTGTTAATGAGGGAAAACCTACTCCCAAGAGTCCTTAGTATAAAAATAATCTGTTTAGGATTCAGTCACTCCAGGGAAACGGGGAAAAAAAAAAAGAGAAGTACACACTTCCGAGAAGAGGAAAGCTTCCGTGAGAACATACAAAACTTATGTACAAAACCACGAAGTGTATTTTTTGCTATACAGATACACCCCACAGATATATACTGCACACACACACGCACGCACACACACGCACCCCTGGGATTTAACCCATTGAAAAAGTATGAAAGCAGCAGCTATTGGTCAATCTGAGGACCCGGCGCGTCCGACCGATGGGTTGAATCCTTCAGCTGTAGTGAAGAGGATGCCTGAAAGCCTGGAATTCTCCTGGAAACGCTTTTCGCCCTGCAGAAGTTTTGTTCCGCACCGTTACGCTGTAGCTCAGATACCAGCAGACTTCACGTCTTCTGTTGGCAAACGCGGACGCTTCGCCTTCGGCTTCGCTTACACGGTCGCTTCCTGTTTTGAAACCATGGTTACAGCAGGGACAGCAGCCATGGAAACCTCTTCCATTTATGTTCACAGATAAGTCCACTGACAACCAGTCAACTTGGCCAAAAAAAAAAAAAAGTATTAATCATAAGATGATTAAAAATCTGAAGAGTTTGTCGATGTGTGTCATACACTGTGGCAGCAATAACGAGAGTCCTGAGATTTGTGGAGGGGGGGGGGGAAAAAACAAGCCACAACCCTTGGGCCGAACAGGAAGCGTTAGGAAGGGCTTGACCTGGGCATGGAGAGAATCCGCCCGTTTTTCTTGCCACCGTTCATGTGAGTGTAAGGTATGTGCTCCTCGTAGTTCCCCTTGAGGGCCATGGAGGGTCCGTTGTCCCGGCCCAGGACTTTGTCCCTCTGCGAGTACGAGGAGGGATCGAGGGGAATGCTCTCCATGTTCTCGAAGTCCATCTCGTACTCCTCCGTCTCCAGAGGTTTGTTCTCCTCGCTGTAGAAGAACGAGACCTCGTGGAAGCTGGGGTGCAAGTCCTCCTTCAGCATCTCGATGATCTCGATGAAGGTGGGGCGCATTTTCGGGTTGTACTGCCAACACATCTGCATCAGGCTGTGCCTACAGCGGGACAAACGAGAGTCAGGGGGAGCAAGAAGCAATTTCACGTGGGCAGGGCTAGCACAGACCCACCACCCACCCCACTCCTCCCACACTCCGAGCTGTTTGTTCTCTTTCCAGTCTCCGCATTTGCCGATCCCGACGCTCCTTCTTCTCTATTTCTGCCTAGATCAAAAATTCCTTCCAATTCCTTCAATTGTTCTTAACTCGCCTTCCAAAGGAAACGGGGCTGCAGTTCTCATACTCTGTGTGTGTGTACGCACACTCGTAGCCGGGTCACAATTCTTTAATTAATTTGATTTTAATTTTAACTCAGCCTACAAGATAACAAAGCTCCTAAAACTTCAAGGAAAAGAGGGGGCTGTGCAGAGGACAGAGGTCCTGTAAACATCCCACCTAAAAGAAAGGCTGCGGCAAGAGGTCACATGTTATCAGGCACCGCGGAGAAAGAACTTACGAGTGCAAATAAAGTTTCAAACTGGCCACGAGAGGCAAATGCCCAGGATGGCAGGCTTCTGCCACAAGGATACTCACAAAACGTGGTTTTTTCTTGCCTCTGACAGGGCTCGTCTGGCCAGAAGCGGGCAGGGGGAAGGGGTTACCAGGTTGCTCCTGGCTGCTGTGCGCTACTTCAGCAGTGGCTCCGGACACCCCGCTGTCAAAACGCCCTGGCTCAGTTAAACGCTTGGTAACGGGATTTTTTGAATTACTCTGAGAAAAGCAGCTTAGGGAGCACCTGGGTGTGCAGCCGCGCCGGCAGAGCTGGGGACGCAGTAACCTCCAGACAGCAAACGTCACGAGCAGCTGCAGAGAACGACCCTTAACCCCGGTGCAGGAGAACGTCTGGCTCGGGTTTGTAATCTCGGGGAGGTGTTTTTCACTGTCTTTGCACAGTGCCCTCTTTTCTCCCTAACCTTGCAGGCTGCCTAGCCTTGTACTTAAAGTGGAGCAACGAGTCTGGAACAGAAAGGAGAAGCCTTGGACGTGATAAACAGCTCTTGGCTCGGCACAGCATTCGCCTGCCTCTCCCTCCTCATTAGCCATAAACTGGATTTCTGAAAATCGGCGCTAAAAAGCTGTTGTAATTCTCAAGAGTATTTACATAGTCTAGAGAGATGAATTACAGAAACCCTCAGCAGAGCCGGGATTAACAGGCTGGTCTCCAGCCCCTGCAGCCAACGGGGTTGAGAACCAGGCTTTGCCTCGTGACATAAGCCAAGGGCCACCCACCAGTCTGGAGCGGAGGAAAAACATTTTGTTTGAACAACTGACAGAGTGCTTATTTGTATTTTAAGCTTTTCCTGCGCTTTTGTCCTTCCTTCTCTTGAATCCGTAACTCAGGCTGTGAAGGTCCAGGTTGGTTTCTAGTGAAACAGGCTGGCTCAGGGCTCTAATTCCTGGATCACCGAGGACTTGTCGGTTGAGTTTCTGTGAGAGGCAGCTCACTAAAATCTGTTTTGCTCCTCCCCAACAGAGAAGGGGTTAAAGGTGCCACGCATGGGGCCACCTGTGCTGGCCACGCTTCAGCTAACGAGCGCAGCTTGGTTGCTGGTGCCCTGCTTTACCACTTACAGCCTCTCCGGGCAGTTGTCCGGCTGATCCAGGTATCCTCCATCCATCACAAACTTTAGCACCTGTTCGTTGGAGAGTCCCTGGTACGGCTGCTCGGCTAAACTGCTGATTTCCCAAAGGACAACGCCAAACGACCTAAGAAAGAGAGAACATTTCTGGTGAGGAGAAAACATCCTGGAGGTCTACAAGCGACAGTTAGAAGAACTCATCTATATTTTTAAGAGGAAGGTTTCAAAACAATGGTTTTTGTTTTGTCTGCACTCTGAGGAGGTCAGCAAGTGACAATCAAAATTACGTGCATTAAATTGGGAGCTCTTGAGCTGGAATCCATGTGGGATCGCAGCGTGCAACTCACCACACATCGGAATACGCAGTGAAGACACCGTCCTTTAACGACTCGGGTGCCATCCAGCGCACAGGCAGCAGCCCTTTGCCTCCTTTCCGGTAATAATCCGTCTCGTAGATATCTCTGGTCATGCCGAAGTCTGAGGAAAGCAATTGGGATGTGTTAAACATCGCTCCTGCCATGCTACTTCCACTGTGCAACATCTGCAGACGAATGATCTCCTCTGAGGCCAGGCTACTTTCATACAACCCCGGAAGCTTCCGATGGCCAGACGTGCAGTCATTTGCCACCGTGCGATTAACATTCAAAACGTTTTCCTTTTCCCTTCATCTTCTTTTTTTTTTTCTCCTCCCGAGCTGAGATAGAGACTCCAGAGTTAAATTTTTAGTGACAGCTCCTATTCTAAATGTTATTTTTATTCTCCCTTTTTAAGTAAAACAGAGCTCTCTTGGCCCTGAAATCCCACTGTCCTGGCTCTAAGTCCAAAGAGGTCTGAAAAACCCCGGTGCTGTGGGGTT